CCCCAAAACCCCAAAACCCCACACTGAATGCATTATCAAAAGTTTATGAAATTAAAAATTAATAATTAAATCTTGCATGGTGATTGAATTAATAATTTTATCAATAGTTTGAATTCAGCAATATTCTTTGAAATGCCTTTCTATTATCATTACTCCAAGATTACTCTATATATTTCAATTTCTTTGACTGAGTAATTAGATGAACCAGCAAGGTAGTTTTATCCTTCTACTGAACCCTATACTATTCCATCTGGTAGCTTGTAGGTAGTTCCTAAACTAGAGCTACTGCTGGTATTACTGTCACAGTTTGAATAAAGCAACATGTCATAGCTAAACCAAAGCATATACGAGGCAGCAAAGTATAATGCTTATTCCTTCTGCTGATATTACTCATGTTTGGTCTTTTTAGTTAGACTAAAGAGAAAAGCATTTTCATCTCTAGTCCAATCACCTGCATTTTTCCATCCTACTGATGAGTATCCTCCGAAAACTTGATCATGCTGAGATTTGATTATGCCAACAATAGGACCTTTATCATTTATCATCTCATGCATCTTTGAGGAATTGAATGTATCTCTTGTTCCCTTATATAAAAGTTCAAGTTAAGTATTTCCTGCCTCATCTTCGCCATGAATCCATTCTTTCAAAAGATCTTCATGATCATCGGTAATATTAAAGAGAGCCATTGACTCCTCACTAATATCATTATTAGCTTTTCTGTTCATTTTTAGTTGTAACTCCTTTTTTCCTTTTTTGTCCAAATGGGGTAGAAGTTCATCTTGGATACCTTTTAATATCTTAACGAATATTTCAGCAGGATAGCTTTTGTCAAGTTAATTGTAATTTTCAACTTCCTAGATGAGGTCAGTTACTATACCCCTTCTCTCTTTAAGCCTGATTAAAGCCCTTTCACAGAATTCCTAGATATCTTATGCAACAACATGATCAAGTTTCTAAGCGTGAGCTCTGTGAGATTTATGAACACATTAGTGACATACTAATTCTCTGTGAATGTTGCAGTAGTACTCAGCTATCAAGTCAATATGCTACTAACATGAAATCCAAAGCAATTCTTATTACTGCTTTGTTATCTTTTGCACCTTTTCTCTGAACTTTTATGATATTATAAGGGTTTCTTTATCAACAGGACATATCAGTTTACTTTCTTGTGGCTCTAAAAGTGTTTAGAAACATGATAGGCAAATTAAGTCACCACAAGGCAGCATTAGTTGGTGTTTATCAATAGTATTAAATGTTTAATTGCATTGCTCGCATTTTGTTTCCGATTCCATTTTCTGATTGATATTCTGATTAAAAGTTAATTTTACTGTATAATACTATTACTTTACTTCTGCTATTAAATACTTGAGGGGTTTTGGGGTTTTGGGGAGATCGGAAGAG